GAAGGAAGGAAGGAAGGAAGGAAGGAAGGAAGGAAGGAAGGAAGGAAGGAAGGAAACCACATTTTCAAGGCATCCTTTAAAACATGGATCAAAAATGATGTTCCGTTATTGATCATCCTTTATGAACTTCACACTAGGAGTGGGTGGGATGTTCTGTTTCTGAGAGCCCTTTTCTCCCTCTGTCTCCCCTGTCCCCAGTGCAAAGACCACAATGGAACTGCTAGACAAAGAGATACCAAGTCACCCTTCTGCCCCCAATGGCCTGATTTGTTTCTCTTTCTGTGCTGGAGGTGTGGGGTGAGGAGAGTCAATAGGGGTGACACTAACAGCGTCATAGAAAGGATCTGACCCATTTGGATGACCATTTCCCAGCCTGCTTCAACTCAATGTCTGCATGATTGGCAACCCCTCTAAATAGGATATAATCTTCTACCAATGATGGGGAAACGCTCTTGATTTAATTTGGACATCCATTCATTTTTAATGTTTTCTTTTAAAAAAATAAAGAAGCGTATGGGTCTTTAGATTAAAAAAAAGTCTGCAAAGACTCTGCAAATCTGCTGTTTTATAAGCATATTGTTGTTAATAAAGTTCTAACATCCTCACGTTTGAGAAGGCATCTTCTTTAGAAATAAGATCACCCTCTTTACATTTTCAGAGGGAGGAGAGTTTATGTTGAGTTTATATTCTCTTTCACAAATAGAAGTCCCCCCCCCCCCCCCCAAATGCTGATTCGGCCGAATGACTATTGCTATTCCAGCAAACTCAAACAAAATCAAATAAGCAGGTGGATGAAACTCTGTTTTTTCCGGCTTGTTGAAAAAAAGCATAAGCTTTTTGAATAACAGATTTCTAAATATTTTATAGGAATTGACAAGGAATCCATCTGGATCATGGTTCTTTCTAAAACATTTGCTTCCTTCAGTTTTGTTTTATTTGTTTAATATACTGCAGAAGGTGACTGTCCTCATACACTGGGACTGACTTTTCTGAAATTGGCTACAGATACCAAGTCTGATTTCCTAAAGTAATGAT